TCCTATTCCTTCCTATGGAGAGACACATATCTTTGGGACACATAATAGACAGCTTCCTTATATGAATCAATGTGATTGTTCCCATTTCTCAATGAGAGAAAATAAGCAAAATTCACAATTTTTCTGCGAAATCAATTAAATCCCTCTGATCCTCCCTGTATATGAAAAAGTAACATTGACTTTGTAGGATGGTAACAACCCAAACTGAAACAAAATTACACACCAACCACTTAATTAATAAAGATTTCTGACTCCTCTCCTCTTTATATGGTAGTGTGCCAAAGCAAACTCTTCCAACAATGGTACACGGAGAAACCTGTTATACAGCTTTTCACACAGGCAGTTGTTGTAGAACATTTTTCCTTTACAGAGTGTTTAGCCAACATTGTATGAATGATACTTCTTGGCTCCCAGATAATGTTTTTCATTATTATTATAGAGGTTAATTGCAATTAAGGCAAAAACATTAACACATATACTATAGCAGGTCATTGACATACAGTCATGGCCGAAATTGTTGGCACCCTTGATATTTCTCCAGGAAATCATGTATTTCTCACGAAACGTATTGCATTAACACATGTTTTGCTATACACATGTTTATTCCCTTTGTGTGTATTGGGACAAAACAAAAAAAGGGAGGAAAGAAAGCAAATTCGACATAATGTCACACAAACCTCCAAAAATAGGCTGGACAAAAGTATTGGCACCCTTTCACAACTGCGGATAAATAAGAATGTTACAAGCATGTGATGCTCCTGTAAACTCACCTGGGGCAAGTAACAGGTGTGGGGCAATATAGAAATCACACCTGAAAGCAGATAAAAAGGAGAGACGTTCACTTAACCTTTGCATTGTGTGTCTGTCTGTGCCACACTAAGCATGGACAACAGAAAGAGGAGACGAGAACTGTCTGAGGACCTGAGAACCAAAATTGTGGCAAAATATCAACAATCTCAAGGTTACAAGTCCATCTCCAGAGAACTAGATTTGCCTTTGTCCACAGTGCGCAACATTATCAAGAAGTTTGCAACCCATGGCACTGTAGCTAATCTCCCTGGTCGTGGACGGATGAGGAAAATTGATGAAAGATTGCAACGCAGAATAGTCCGGATGGTGGATAAGCAGCCCCAAACATGTTCCAAAGACATTCAAGCTGTCCTGCAGGCTCAGGGAGCATCAGTGTCAGCGCGAACTATCCGTCGACATTTAAATGAAATGAAACGCTATGGCAGGAGACCCAGGAGGACCCCACTGCTGACACAGAGACATAAAAAAGCAAGACTACAGTTTGCCAAAATGTACTTGAGTAAGCCAAAAGCCTTCTGGGAAAACGTCTTGTGGACAGATGAGACCAAGATAGAGCTTTTCGGTAAAGCACATCATTCTACTGTTTACCGAAAACGGAATGAGGCCTACAAAGAACAAAACACAGTACCTACGGTAAAATATGGTGGAGGTTCAATGATGTTTTGGGGTTGTTTTGCTGCCTCTGGCACTGGGTGCCTTGACTGTGTGCAAGGCATCATGAAATCTGAGGATTACCAAAGGATTTTGGGTCGCACTGTAGGGCCCAGTGTCAGAAAGCTGGGTTTGCGTCCAAGATCCTGGGTCTTCCAGCAGGACAATGACCCCAAACATACGTCAAAAAGCACTCAGAAATGGATGGCAAAGAAGCGCTGGAGAGTTCTGAAGTGGCCAGCAATGAGCCCAGATCTAAATCCCATTGAACACCTGTGGAGAGATCTTAAAATTGCTGTTGGGAAAAGGTGTCCTTCCAATAAGAGAGACCTGGAGCTGTTTGCAAAGGAAGAGTGGTCCAAAATTCCGGGTGAGAGGTGTCAGAAGCTTATTGATGGTTATAGGAAGCGACTGATTTCAGTTATGTTTTCCAAAGGGTGTGCAACCAAATATTAAGTTAAGGGTGCCAATACTTTTGTCCAGCCCATTTTTGGGGTTTTGTGTGACATTATGTCATATTTGCTTTTCTGCCTCTGTTTTATATTTGTTCCAATACATACAAAGGGAATAAACATGTGTATAGCAAAACATGTGTTAATGCAATACCTTTTTTGTGTGAAATACTTGATTTTCAGGAAAAATATCAAGGGTGCCAACAATTTCGGCCATGACTGTATTTATGGCAATCGCGTGTTGAAAGATGTTTCAAAAAAACAAAACCAAAGGGTCAACTCACCCAAAGCAAACACTATATGCTGCAATTAGGCATAGTTAAGTTAAGGCAGATATAGAAAACACAAATTAACGCAGCTAGGTGTTCATTAAGAAAGTAATGAATGTATTTTTAATGCAACTAGTGTAAGTACCTAAATTGTATGATCAGTCAATTGCAAGAGCATTCAGGCTGAAAGAGGATGGGGCAACACTGGGAGCCAATCAAGTGTATTGCATGCAAATGTGCTGGCCTGAAAATCCTGATAAAAGAGGGCAGAGTGAGCAGAAAAGTGACCTCCACAAACTCCTGATGCTCCTTCACTGTCCAATCATCAGGTTTGGGATCAAAAGAGGACACCACTCTATTACCTCTACATCTAAAACTATGACAGTGGCATCCATCTGTGTCAGGAAATCCACATTTATGTTCAAGCCCAAAGAACTGTGCATGCGTACAGAACTCTCCATAGACCTGTGCACAGAATAAGGACCATGCACACATCACAGCTTGTTTGTGTGCATGTGAGCATAAGTGTGCTCATGAGAATAAACGTGCACGTGTGAATGCCTATTTAAAGATTTGCAAGACTCAATAACATTGCTGAGCAATCATGAGATCATTTTACCTGGGACCTGACTTCGTGCTTTCTTTTGTGTTCTGAGCTGGTTTGTTTTTCTGCATGATCCTGAAATCCTGTTTCCGACTCCAGCTTGTGACCCAACCCTGTCCCCTTCCTGCTGTTCCAGTACCAACCTTGACCTGGCCCTGGCTCTGCTTCTGGTTCCTGATTTTGTACCTCTGCTGCCCAAATGTTGCCGAATTCTACCTGCCTGACTTCACATCTGCCAGCTTGCCTGCTGCACAGCCTCCCATTGCATCTGCTACAGTGTCTCCCAGCCAGGATCTCTTACAGGTACTCATGCAACTCTGGCCCTGTTATACCCTGTCATTAACTCCTGGGGAAACAGACAGGAGGTGTAAGGAAAGCCCTCTCACCAAGGCATGTGACAACCTGACTATGCTGTGTGGCAGGGCTGTGTAAATCTAAAAAGTGGATAGACAGAAATGCTAATTCTTTGGCAGGTAAAGCAGCTTACTTAATTTTATTTATATCTACAACTTTGTATTTAGCACTTTGCCTGGAGTTCATCCTTGTTCTTGGTCATTGAAACAATATGAACATTGAGTCAGCATGGAAGCCAAGAAACTTTTTTAAAGAGATCAACAATGGTGGCCTGTGTGGTTTTTTCAGCATATTTTGCTGTGTTTCAGCTTTAAACCACCTAATGGATTTTATTGGTGGCATTGAAAAGATCTCAGCCATTTTGTTTCTAGGTCAGTATACCAGCCTGCAAGATTCCTTTACTCATCTTCTCTTATTTTTGGATTCTCGTTTTTTTTTAAACATTGGAAAACTCATCTGGGGCCTTAGAAACACCTACAAATCAATAGAGCATGAACTAGGTAGGAACAATTTTGCTAGAGGTCCTTTTACTTACTGTCCAGGAGACACAAAAGGAAGGGAGAGGAAATATTTGTAAAATGGGGAGACGTTCCCTCTTAGACATTTGTCAGCAGAACAATGGTTCTTACTTTGGTTCCTGCAATGGTTCCCATTCTGGTAATGACTCTAAAACTTGGATTTCCTAATTTTACCATGGACACCAAGATAAACAGAGAGGGTGAACCGCCACAGCAGAGATAACCTTTCCCTACTTTATCCAATAGTCGAAAAGAGTTTTGACTAGAGATACATATCACAATTACCATGCACAGAGGTAGTTTTAGATTTGGGTTTAAAGTGTTAACATTTAGGTAGCGTTAGAGGAGCCTTAGGATAGAACTTTACTCTCAAAAGCTGGAATTCAAAAAACTACCAAAATCTAAACTATTGGAGTTTTTATTTATTCCAGTTTACACCCAGAAGCAAAATCATATCAGTAAATTAATTGGTTTCTGGCTTATAAATTATTCTTCAACTGTGTGTATTTGTGACTTTGGAATAGACATCAGAATGTACAGTAAGCTCCACTGGAGAAGGGACTGGTGTGAAAGGGTCAATACACTTTGTGGAGCTCTAAAGCACTGTATAAATGGAATCATTAACAAATAAATAAATAAGTTAATCAGATTATTACCTTTTGGTTATGTCTTGTTAGTAAATAATCAGTCTTGCATGGGTGACAATTGATGCTTTTAAGAAGTGTATGTAAAAAGATAAATGACAAACTCTAATTGTGGTGTTCATACTTCTGGCTTGTTGATGTCACCCATAGATTATGCAATTTTCTTGCCTTCCTTCATGGGTGGAAGGAATGAAAATTGATTGATTTCCCCACCAACAAAGTCAGTGTTGATGGGGGCAGTACCAGGACAAGGTCATCCAGTGCCCAGGGCAAAGATGCCAAACTGCGTCCCCCCTCATCCCGTTCATGTCGTGCAACCTAAGGGGATGCTACGCCCAGCAGTCACTTACTTGTTAAATTCACTGCTAATGTCTCTATTCCTGTCAGCCTTGAAACAGAAGGAAAGTGCCCCCATCCCTACAGTAAACCATGATGCCCAGGGCAGCCAACCCCCTGCCCACCCCTTACCCTGGCCCTGGGGAATCCCTCCTGTTGTGCTATTGTGTTCTCCCAGTCACCCACCGGCAGAACACAATGACCACTGCTGCCAGCTATAGCCACCAGCAGTGATCACATGAAAAAAAATCCAACAGGCTGGTTGTCCTGAAGTCGATCGATGAATTGACTTCAGTACAAAAATCCTGCCCATAGATGAATCAAATCTTGACTGGTCCCTGCTGAACCCGCAGAGATTCAGTCCATCCAGGGGCGGACTGACCATTTGGAAACACGGGCACTGCCCAAAGACCCAGGGTCAGTAGGGGGCCCCATGAGATGCCCTTGGTACCTTTTTCATAGGCTTTTTTGAGTTTGGGCAAGGACACAGGGGCCCCATTATCCCCTATTGCCGGGGGCCCCATGAGTTGTCAGTCCGCCCCTGGGTCCATCTATGGCTGGCTTAAGTAACTTTGAGAAAGTTGGATATTAATTGTGAGCTGGGTGCTCAAACAAGTGAAATACTAAGAAACCATCTAGTACACAAAAAAAATGTAGCTTGCATTAGGGCAGTGTTTCTCAACTCCAGTCCTCATGGACCCCCAACAGGTCATGTTTTCAGGATTTCCTTTATTTTGCACAGGTGATTTGATCAGTTTCACTGCCTTAGTAATTACCACAGCTGTTTCATCTGAGGGAAATCCTGAAAACATGACCTGTTGGGGGTCCATGAGGACTGGAGTTGAGAAACACTGCATTAGGGGAAGATTGCTGTTGAGCAAATATATTACTTTGGTGGGATCCAGAGTTATATGTGATAATTGGAGTTCTCTTCCCAATAATTTAGGGCGGGCATCCCCACTGTAAACTACTATAGAGTTATTTTAGAAAGAAGAAAATTAGTGATGCCACTTCAAGATTATCTAAAAAAAAGTATATAAACCTTTATTTATGTACAAAAATAACATATTCACCCATTCACCAAACAATTACAATCCCCTCTTGTTCAGATAGTCAGAATATGTTGGTGCATCAACAATGCTCTATAACATTTAGCTAATTTAAGCAGTTAGATGTTTGCAATTTAGTAGACGGGTTGACAGGAAAATCTGTTGCTTGGTAAGCAGAATATGCCTCCATGTTCAACCACCAGCATATGCTCATGGCTAGCTTAACATTGTAATAAAGACAATTTTTATCTTTAAATCCAATGATTCCTTTATCAGAACCTAAATCCCTTCTTTGTTAGCACTGATAAGTTTTAATACGTTGACAAAATATCCAGTGTGCCTCTTTTATACACCTGATCTAACAGGCACAGGGCCACGCAACGAAATCCTCTGGATGTATCTAGCTCTGCAAGTTACTAGTTATGAAGTGTTTTATTGTAAATATTAAAAAAAAGTATGAAGAAGTAAATCAACCTGTTTCCTGCTCAAGATAAAAAGTTGACTTCTTCGAAGCACAATACAAACCCTTTATTCATGGCTTAGTACATAATTATAATCAGACAGGAAGAGATAGCGATATTTAAAAATCTACTACCTATAAATGACTTCTTTTCCCATGACCTTTATGCTCCATCCACCCGTAAGAAATTCACATTTATAGTGTTGTATTTCATCAAAGCTTTGTTTATTTGTGTACATTTTTATATATTTTATAATTAGAAAAGTATTTTATTCTCAGGACAACTCAACTGAGAGAGCAGCAGAAATACAATCCCTTGGAGTTGATTATATTTGTATCGGTTACTTATGAAGCCCCAGAAAAGCTACATATATACTTTATAATATAAAGATAATGCATACATACACCTTAAAGCTGAATAACAAGCTAAATAAAATACTAAAATGAAAGTCTATGTTACCGTATTGTTTTTCTATGTGTGTTTTCACATATGTGTATTTTATAAATCTTAGTCTCTATCATTTTCATATACTTCTTCCATCTGAAGTACTTGGTTGATCCTCTCAGTTACCTTTCCTGCTTGTTCCAAACTGACCACAAAAAGCACAGGAGCATATCTGTGTTAATGTGGTCAGTTTTCATTTTTTGGCGGTCCATTCAGAGGTACAGGACACTGTGCAGACACACAACATGCCTGTATTGGGTAGTTTGTTCAGTCACTACACTTCCTGACCAATCACAGCCTGCCTCTGGCACACACCGCCTCCCAGTTACAGCCTGCCTCTTGAACATGCCCTCCATCAACAGTCTGCATCTTACCTCTGGCTGAACAGACTGTGGAATATAGGCACATGGTTTATCTGCACAGTGTCCTGTAACCCTGCCCTCCACTATCAGGAAGACAAGATGCATAATCACAGTACAGACATTTTTAACCCCTTGACGCCGACGTAACATAAATATACAGCCTCATAGAACTGGTCTTTTTTTCCATGGGGCCGCATATTTGCCTACCTGTCTTTGTGCTGGGAGTGCGCCGCACGGCGTGTTCCCAGCACAAAGACCACGGTGTCACTGAGAGCACTGGGTCCCATTCTAATGATCGAGACCTGGGACTCCGGATTCCAGGTCACATGATCGCTGCCATAGCCTCTGATTGGCTATCACAGTGGTCAATCACTGTACAGCCTGGCCCCCTTGTTTTTTTTTTTTTCTCTCTATGAATGGAGGAGAGAGATACATTGTATCTCTCTAACTCCTGGCATAGAGGGAAAAAAATTGTTTGTAAAAAAAAAAAAAAAGGTAAATAAATAAATATTCAAAAATAAAAGAATAAATACCTAGATCAAGGTTTGATCTAGTTCAGTGCCAGGGAAAGTGTTTGAGTCAAGGTCAGGGTCAAAGGTCAAGGTCAAATTGTTGGGGTCAAAGGTCAAGATTTAAAAAAATTTGGTAGAAGTGTCAGTTAGTGTCAGTGTCGCTGTGTTTTAGGTTAAAAAAAAACAAAAAAAAAATGTGCACTTTTGTTTCTGGGCTGTACTACATGTATAAACAACAAATAAAATACACACATATGGTATAGCTGTGCTCATCAAGAGCCGGAGAATTTATTTTGGGATGTTCTTTGGTGGTAGGTTATGGTAGTAACAAGAAACACACAGCTAAATTAAAAAAATATATCTTTTTTTTTACTATTTTGGGCCAGTTTTCCTTTGATAATAAAACAAATCAGGAGATATCCATTTCAATTTACCACCAAATGAAAGCCCAATTTGTTCTGAAAAGGTATAATTCACCTGGATGTACAAAGAAGTTGTGATGCTAGGTACGGTTTTACTAACACATGTCAACGTTGCAAAATTGTGCTTAGGCATTTAGATTTGTTTTACCCTTAGGCGTGAAGGGGTTAATCTTGTGTAAAAGGTAAGAAAAATCATTTTTGAACCTAAGCAAACACAGTTATAGCACCTGCACTGTATTAGAAAGTGTCTATAACAATGTATGTTTACAACTGCTTTAACACAGCTCTGCATTCATTAACCTCCCTGGCGGCATGATTATTTCAGATTTTTGGTGCTGAAAGCTCAAGGCTCATATTCAAGGTATAGGTAAAAGATTTTAATATCCATTATTTTGCATGGAAATATGTAGTTTTTTTATTGTAGGCTGTAATATTTAGGAATAACTCACTGAAATCTGTCCGTCACCAAACGAACAAGAGTCTATTAAACATCCCGGGTATAATAAAATTTGAAACACAAATCATAAATTATAATTTAATAAATAATCATAAAAAATATAATAATATTAATAATAATACATTTAATTCAATAATATAATCAAACCAAAAACACTGAAATTTGAAAATATTTAGGAATAACGCCAAGTTCGCACATCAAATTATAATTTAATAAGTAATCTGAGCAAAGTTGCAAAATTGTTTTCAGTGTCTGATGACTTTACCCTGAGCTACACTCGGGAATACCGCTAGGGAGGTTAATACATTCTTAAAAGTGTTTTGTAAATGCAAACAACATAAATACCTGAAATTGATTTGGTTTCAGTCTCTTGCACTTCACTGTACAGCAGAGCTCAAACTGGTATAGGGAAAGAAGGGTGAGCTCATCAGTGTGCTGCTTTATTTTTACTGCCCAGTGATAAGCTGGGACAATCAGAAAACAGCAGAAAAATCAGGTGTCCTCCCTTGCCAGTTATGCACATCTCTAATTACTACTGCTTATCAGTGCAAGCTAGGGTAATCATGGCTTCCATGGAACAAGGCTTTGGAGCAGTGAAATATGTTTACTGGTTAGATGAGCCAAGGCCAATGAGCTAATACTAATATGTTTACATGTATGGGAGAAGCAATATCCTCTAGATACAATTTATTGTGTGTGTATTATTACTCGAATCTTGGTGTTCTTTGTGTATTTCTTCCAGATTTGTTCAGTAATTCAATGTGAATGTTTGCTTCTGCATGGGAACTTCCTGTAATAAAGACCAGTCACTGTGAGTCTCTCACCTTGTACAGGGTGACTGGTCTTGTCTCCGCCCCCTCCGGTAGTTTTCAGTAGGAAGCCTGTAGTGGGTTGGGTCTGTTGGGCCCCTCCCACAACTCTGCACTCTACCCAGGCTATGTACAGCACAGTGATCATGTCAATTTTCCTTTTTTTTGTTGATATCTGAATTTGCAAATTAGCCTTATATGCACGTCTTGAAATGACATATAGTCATTCAAACATCCCTTTCATCTTTATGATTTCTTTGTTCATAATACGTTAAATATGCTGCTGTGTGCAGGTGACAGGTCCTCTTTTCACATTGTCCTTGGAGATGAACACAGGGAGCAACAATGTACCGTACTCATCAGAAAAGAGGATGGACTGTCCATTAGACAAGTCCTATTCATTGTTCATAATCACTTTTCAGGTACATATTGCAGAATGAGCCTTTCACAATATTGACACACCTCAAACAGACACAGAGCATATTTTAACTTTCCTTGATAAATGTTCATAAGATATTAACAGTGAGGACTGGCAGACTGCCACAAGGGTTTTCAGATAAAAAGCTAAGAAAAGCTAAAATGTGAGCTACTTCCCCGGACATACTGAACAGAAGAGACATAGATTGTGTGTATATCTATATACAGCTATGGTATTATTATAATAGTTCTTGCTGTTACCATCATGTACCTGAGCAGTTTCAATCAGATGGCAGATTGTCCAGAAAAACTGACCAGTGCTGACCAAAGAAATATCAAACACTGGTAACCAGGGGCGGACTGACCATTTGGAAATTCGGCAACTGCCCGAGGGCCCGGGGTCATTAGGGGGCCCCATGAGATGCCCCTGGTACCTTTTTCATAGGCTTTTTTGAGTTTGGGCAAGGACACAGGGGCCCCATGATCCCCTATTGCCCGAGGGCCCCATGAGTTGTCAGTCCACCCCTGCTGGTAACTTGATCATCTGGACAACATGAACAATGAGATACCTCACCTGGGACCTCCATACTGACGCATGACACTAAAATGACTAGAGATGTGCATGACCGAAATTTTTTTTTAATTTTGGATTCTTTCGTTAAATTAATAACTTCATTTAGTCATATTCATTGTGTTAGAATGATTTGTTTTCAAATTTTGTTTCATATATTTAGACTAATTTCATATATTCATTATTTTTAAATCAATTCAAAATTCAAATGTGAAATTCACGTTTTGAAATTCAAATTTCAGAATACAGCTATATTCTATTTTTTATATTCAATTATATTCTAGTCTTTTCTATTCCATTCTAGTACATTCTTTTCTATCCTATTCCATTTATATTTTATTATTTTATATTCTATTATATTCTTTTATATTATATTCTGTTTTATTTATTTATTACAGGTGCAGGCATACCTCAGTTTATGAATTTAATGCGTTCTGCAGGACGTTTCGTATTGCAAAAAATTTGTAACTCGAAACATGGTTTACCATAGGAATGCATTGAAAACCAATTAATCAGAAAAACGTTTTAAAAAAAGTCTTTTATCTGTTCAAAACTCTTTATAAAGTGCACTTTAAAGGCATAAATACTGTACAGGGACATGATTAAAAAACATTTGTAAATGCATTGAAAACCAATTAATCTGTTCCGGAGGTCAGAAAAAAGTAACAAAAAAGTTTTATCTGTTCAAATTTTTTATAAAGTGCACTTTAAAGGCATAAATACTGTACAGGGACATGATTAAAAAAAATATTTGTTGTAAATGCATTGAAAACCAATTAATCCGTTCCGGAGGTTAGAAAAAAGACCAAAAAGTTTTATCTGTTCAAAATTGTTTATAAAGTGCACTTTAAAGGCATAAATACTGTACAGGGACATAATTGAAAAAAATATTTGTAAATGCATTGAAAACAAATTAATCCGTTCCGGAGGTCAGAAAAAAGTAAAAAATAAATAAATCCCAAGTACTCAATATTTCTCTATCTCCGGATGCAATTAGACAAGCGAAATCTAACTTTCCGTTCACGTGGCAATCGGAAGCCATTACCTATTTAGGAATCCAACTGCCAACACATCTCAATGATCTCTATGCTAAAAACTTCCTACCCATCTTACGTAACATTACCAAAGATGTGCAAAAATGGGATCGACCGTCTTTTTCTTGGTTTGGCAGAGCGGCCATCATTAAGATGAATGTGCTCCCAAGACTTTTGTATTTATTACAAACCATTCCAATCAAATTGCCTAATTCCTTCTTCCAGTCCTACAAAATATTATGTACCTCGTTTCTATGGAATAATAAACGCCCTAGAATTGGCTTTGATCAACTAACCATGCCCAAAACATGTGGAGGTATAGGGTTACCTGACATCTCCCGCTATTACAAAGCTTGTCAAATGGCAAGAATAGTTGATTGGTTCACGAATCAGACTCGCAAGGCATGGGTTGAATTGGAAACTGCCTTTTCGGAGACCCCGCTCGCCACCTCCCTTTGGCTATCAAATGCTCACATTCCATCGCAATTCAAGGAACACATTCTCATAGGCCCTACTTTGTCCTGTTACCAACAGGTCAGTAAGCATACAGCACTCTCCTCCACCCCGGGGCCGCTCACTCCTATCAGATTGAACCCAGACTTCCCCCCTGGTATGTCACGTGCCTTTCTTGCGGGATCTGGCCTCACAGGTAAGTCTGCATCACCTCTTCAAAGACGGCCGACTCTTATCCAGAGACCTTCTTATGAACAAATGGCCTACCTGGACCTTAACACCGTGGATGTATAGACAGCTCCATCATTTTATCCACAGCTCACCCCACATAAAAGACTATAATAGATGTCTTACCCCTTTTGAGAAACTGTGCGCTACGGACTCTCCTCGGAGACATTTTATATCCATGCTTTATACATGTCTCGAACACACTAGTGACCTCTCAACTAGGAAAGCCTGCAAGGCCTGGAGCGCTGACCTACAAATCCAACTGTCACCGGAAGACTGGGACCACATGTATGACCACATACACAAAGGGTCTATATGTGTATCCACACAAGAAAATAATTTTAAAATCTACTCTAGATGGTATAGGGTGCCATCCCTACTTCACCGCTTCGACCCTAACATTTCTGTTCTGTGTTGGAGATGCCATCAAACCACAGGTACACTTCTGCACATTTGGTGGGAATGCCCACTGTTACAACCCTTCTGGGGGAACGTTCAATCTACAATCACACGAGTTACTACGTACGCCCTAGACCCTTCGCCCGCACAATTTTTGCTTCACCATAACACGCTCCCATTTCGGACATACCGCAAGTCACTTGCTATACACATGGTGAATGCTGCAAAGCAATGTATACCAGTACACTGGCGCTCCACACATGTTCCCACTGTACAAGAATGGTTTGCCAGGATTGACAAAACTGAGGAAATGGAGGAACTGATCTCTATAGCTAAGGAACATCCCGAGAGATTTCGGAAAACATGGGCATGTTGGAGTAATTTCAAATCCACTTCTTCTTATAACAGAATAGTAAATGAGCAATCTAGATCTCCAAATTGAATTTCCTCGGACATATCCGGTTCATCGAAGATGCTTTTGTCACACGTACAGATAGACTGTATTGTTATACCAGGATATGTTTTGTGGGGTTTCTAATCCGTGTGTTACCCATCTATCGGATCTTGCAGGTAACATATACTAGCTATATTACTTTGCTGGCTAGGCTAATACTTGGGGAGGTGACCAAGTTTAACATTTTATTGCCTCAATACGCTACTGTCACTCGACCTGTTTCCCCCCCCCCCCCCTCCCATATATAAATAATTTTTTTTTTTTTTGTCTGTCCCACCTATCCTCTCATCCTACATTTCTTCTTCTTGCTGTTCATCTTTCTGATCTTTCTTCTTGTCCACACCTGTTATGCCACCTTATCAGTCATTCTTCACCAGCCAAATAGTGCATTCACCCGCACACAAATAGGACTCACGTCATTTATATTATACATGCAAATTAGAAACATGTAAACCATGACTCTATTAACATCTATTGCCGTTCAGGCTCTAATCTTCATATCACCTCATCTTTAACCGCATGCCGCGCAGCCACTGTACATATACGGCGGCAGGGCGGCACTCACAGGCAAAACCACGTTTTAAGATGTGTGTTTTGTAAACAAATAGGGGGCGCGCGCGAGGCGCGCCGTCGCCCTATCAGTCCTGCGGATCACCACCGCAGATGTGAGTCGGCGGGTCACAGCCGCTCGTTAGCGGCTATGTTCCAGCGATCGGCGGCAAACAGTGACAGACAGCACAGCTGCAGTAGCTGTGCTATCTGTCACTTCCCTGTCAGCTCGAGGATGAGCTGATCGAGAAAGAAGAGTTTCTCTTTCTCGATCAGCCTTGTCCCGCCCAGCACACACCCCGCCCCCTAGTAAAACACTCCCCTCAGTCCTATAACCCTTCCCTGCAAAATAAAGTTAACCCCTTCCTCCCTATTGCCATGAGTATAGTGTCAGTTTTTTTTTTTTTGCACTGATCACTGTATTAGTGTTTTTGGGGATGTCAGTGACCCCAAGTCAGTACCCCCCAATGTCAGAATGTCTGCCGCAGTCCCGCAGTTCCACCATAAGTCGCTGGTTGCTGCCATAAGTCCTGATCGCCGCCATAATTCGCTGATCGCCTCCATTATTAGTATAAAAAAAACCCTAAAAATTCCAGTATCTTTCCCGCCATTTGTAAACGCTATAATTTTCACGTAAACCAATTAATTTACAAGTATTGGGGTTTTTTTTAGCAAAGACATGTCGCAGAATGCATTTTGGCAGAAATTTATGACTAAATTAGATTTTTGTATTTTTTTTTTTACTGGACATGTTTTATAGCAAAAAGTCCAAAATATTGTTTTTTTTTTCCTCAAAATTGTCAGCCTTTTTTTTTATAGCGCAAAAAATAAAAACCGCACAGGCGATCAAATACCACCAAAAGAAAGCTCAATTTTTGGGGAAAAAAAAGATGTAAATTTCATTTATGTACCGTATTGCATGACCGTGCAATTGTCCGTTAAACTAGCGCAGCGCTGTATAGCAGAAAAATGGCGTAAGTTGCAGTATTTATATCATAGTTTGTAAACGCTATAACTTCCACACAAAGCAATCAATATACACTCATTGGGATTTTTTTTTACCAAAAACATGTAGCAGAATACATTTTGGCCTAAATTTATAACCAACTTTGAGTTTACTATATATTTTTTATAGCTGAATGTAAAAAATGTTTTTTATCAAAATGTTTGGCCTTTTTTATGTTTATAGCGTGAAAAATAAAAAGTGCACAGATGATCAAATACCACCGAAAGAAAGCTCTATTTGTGTGAAAAAAAGGACGTAAATTTCGTTTGGGTGCAGCATTGCATGACCGCGCAATTATCAGTTGAATTAGTGCAGCAACGAGTAGCAAAAAGAGGCCTGGTCATTAAGGGGGGTAAATCCTCTGGAGCTCAAGTGGTTAAGCATTGCTGATATTCCAGACGAGACGACATACACCTTCAGTGTTGCATCTACGTTCCTCTAAGTAGTCATTGGTTTGAATTGTAAGTTTGATATATTGTTTTATGCCACTTGGCTTTGTATTATGGATTACACTAAATTCTGTCTGCAAAACGGAAAGCAACATTCCATGTCTGTATTCTGACTGTGCATTATAGCTGTATACGCTCTATATGTTTTCCTGTCGATTCTGATATTAATAAAATATTTTTTGGAAACAAACAAAAAAAAAAAAGTCTTATCTGTTCAAAACTCTTTATAAATTGCAGTGTAACCACTTGTCTTCCAGGCACTTTCACCTCCTTCCTGCCCAGGCCAATTTTCAGCTTTCAGCAGTGTCGAACTTTGAATGACAATTGTCATGCAACACTGTATCCATATGACATTTTTAGCCTTTCTTTGAGACAGATAAAGCTTTATTTTGGTGGTATTTAATCACCTCTGGGTTTTTTATTTTTTTGCTATACACACCAAAAACAACAGAAAATTTTGAAAGAAAAAGTTTTTTCTTAG